AATTTTCTATTGTATATATGAATTAAAATTGCAATTTAAATTGTAAACTAAATGCACGCGGACGAACCAGACAGATGTTCGACAGTTTAATACCGTTTTGCCAGTTTTCGTAAAAGCCAAGACATCAGTCGCCGTATTTTATTTTCGATGTTGGACTTTACGCGGGTAATCCTACACCACCACTCACCGCGGTCTATTTCTGATACAGTCATTTTTAAGACATCCACTAAATGCTTTTGATACTCACATGCACAGTCCGCGTGGGAACTACAACAAATTTTATGTCCATTTCCAATGTATAGATTAAGTTGGGCTTAACTCATTCTTTATTATTTTCTAATTTTTAAAAAGAAAATCTAAGAAAAAGATGAAAAGTGAATAGAAATTAGAGTTAATCTACGTTGGTAGAAATGAGCGTTAAACAGCAATGAGATAAAAGATAGTGTTAAAAATAATCGCGCTGACACGCGTTTGTATGAAAAGTTAATTTATATGTGTATTATAGTTACATTATATTTTTTCAGAGTCGTAATAAGGAACAGGAAGCCGAGGTCCTCGCCTGGATCGAAGCTGTGTTAGGCGAGAAGCTCCCACCAGGAAACTACGATGACATTTTAAAAGATGGTGTGATCCTTTGTAATTTAATCAACAAACTTGCGCCCGGATCGGTCAAAAAGATTCAAAGTAAGGGCACCAATTTCCAGCTTATGGAAAATATTCAAAGGTAAGCGAGAGCAAACTATCTTCCTTTATCTTACTTCATATAACGATTTTTATAAAACTTTATATATTTTTTACTACTGTCAATAGATTCCAAGCGGCGATCAAGAACTATGGTGTCCCACAAGAAGAAATTTTTCAAACAGCTGATCTCTTCGAGAAACGCAACATCCCTCAAGTCACCCTCTGCTTATATGCCTTAGGCAGACTCGTGAGTAGTTCGCAATAATAGTTTGATTGATTATATATTAAAATCATAATTAAGAAGCTAACAAAATATCTATTACAATATATTTTTACGTGAAAAAAAAAAAGAATATAATAAAGAAACTTTCGATGCAACAGATATTTATATTTAAATTTTTAGAAAATATCGGGTTTTTTTTATTAACTTAAAAAAATAAACAACACTTTTTACATATTTTAAATGTAGAAAATAGCAAAAGTTTTTATATACAAAGAAAAACATTAAAACTTTCCATTTGATACATGTAAAATCAGCACAGCATAATTTGCCACAGTTCATTTATATCTCTAATTAATTAATGAGTATTTGTGACATTTAATTGGAATAAATGTTTTTGTAATAGACGCAGAAACATGACTGGACCGGGCCAAGTTTAGGACCGAAAATGGCGGACGAGAACAAGAGAGCCTTCACTGATGATCAACTTCGTGCTAGCGAGGGTCACCTGGGTCTTCAGATGGGTTACAATAAGGGTGCCAGCCAGGCTGGTCACGGTGGCTTTGGAAATACTCGACATATGTAAATTTTTTTTATAGAAATGAATTAACACACATCTATATGTGTCATATAGGTCTACAATGACTGGTTAGACTACACACAGGAACACAGGAAGTATGATACAATAAAAATATTGAAATAAGTCGCATTTTTTAACCGCGCGTATTAAATGTGTGTGTGAAATAATAAGGATATTACGCTTTAAAGTATATTTGTCAAATCTATGAAGTCCGTAAAAAATTGCAAATAACCGATGTGTTTTTTATCATCGGTTATTATTGACATAAATGAGATCGAATAATTTGTGTTAATACTACTTTCTTTATAAGAATAATCATTTCTTTCATACTGTCGCGAATATATACGCATCTCTACAGTATTTATTATTAACTTCACTTATATTATTTTCTGTAGTCAATCTTTAGATATCAATGTTTAACAGTTAATTTATTCATTATTTTATTTTTTTTTCTATATCAAATATTAATAATGTATAGCAATATTAATATTCTATCTAGTCATGGAAGAATATATTTTTTATACGAATTCGTAACAGTTGTAATTTGCATGTAAATGTAAGTCCGAACTCTATCCGTGTGTGTCATTTATGATATCGTACAGACGCGCTTTATATTTTATGAAAAATCCTAATTTCCACATTACATATACATATACATTAGTATGTATACACAAATAATATATCATTTACACAAACAACTTTTATGCACAATCACACGCAACTTTCATATTAAATATACATAATACAGTACATTATACAAATACAAGTAATTATTATATATACATACGTATTCATTACCGATTTCGAAAAATATTTCGTTAATATAACAAGATGTGTCAAAGAAAATATGAATATTAAAGACATAAATTAAAAACTAGAAGATACAATACTGTTATCATGTTCACACAATTAAACGAACACATAAAGAAACACAAGCTACATACACGTAATTCAACATTATACTACACGTACTGACAGGCAAAAGATCCAACTAATATTTACAAATTTAGAATACTATTTAGAAATAGTTTTTAAGTTTTACAATACCAGCTTTACCTTTATAATCTTTTGCGATTTTAAATTATGTCATAAATGTGCTTCATAAATCTCTCTACCTTATACAAACTAAACTTTATAAATTTCTACTTTTTTTAAATTAGCAAGATTCTACAAATTTGTATCATTATTCGAATTACTATATACGTGTGTAATTTATGAATAAATAAATCCATATACATCTTTCAGAAAATTATATTATTTTCTGTAACTTCCATCCAATCATTCTCGTTAATTTACGCAATTTATTCTGTAAGTAAAATCACTGTTTTAAAACGCGTCATGGAAATATGTAGGCTAAATAAATTTCGGGAAGTTATGCTAATAATACGAACGATTAAGGCAAACGAATGTAATGATCGAGGAAACTTTTCTTAGAAATACCGACATTGCATTTGGAATTAAGCCAATTTCATGCAATATTCATACACTAGTAATTCTAGGGTAATAAAATTAAATGTGAAATACCATATTAAATCAAAACATTGTTGAAGAAAGTTGCAATTATTAACGATATAATAGTTTGCAAAAGCTACGATATAAAGAATATTTTTGTTAATAAAATCCGACATATTTTTCATCTGTTTATATATATATATATATATTTTACAACACAATTGTCAATTATTAGAAAGAAATCTAGTCGAGCACACTGTAACAAGAAGTATTTAATTTTAAGATATTAAAATATATTATGTTTTATTCTTATCTCCATTTTTGAAACATTTGAAGATGTTCTTTTAAATTTTTTCAATAAACAAAATACTATGTGTTATATCAAATAAAGGATTTTTTTCCGTTTTGTGTCTATCTTCCATCGCGGTCTATCTTTCTTCGCGTCGTGTAATTCTTTGCGCCCACGCGGATATAAAAATATCCATCTGTTTGTAAATAAATCAGGAACTCGCGATCACGTCATCCGTGACACGCTTTTCTGAGTTTTTCATGGAAGCTAATAAGCTCGTTTCGTGCCAACGTGCATGTTTCTGGCGCGGTAAAATTTAATTCCTATATAACTTTTGCTTTCCTTGGCAAATCCAAGTGCCTTTCAGTTTATTTCTGGATCACCGTGGCATACACGGCGACCGCTGCTGGACCCGGGTCACGAAATATCACTTTATTTCGAAATGGAGTCGTCCTATCGCGAGAAAAGAATCTCTTACGTGTTTCAGTTCGTCAACAGCAATTGCTGGCATTTTAAAAGAATTTTTGTTAATATATATAATCAACCTAATTATTATTATTATAGCATTTTATTGTAATATTGATTACCGATCTATTAGCGTGATTTACGTAGTGTTGCATAAAGATTTGTTTACTCTGATATCAAAAGATTCGGAAGATTATTTGCGCGTATTTTAAATCATTCCGTGTTTGATAGTACGTCTGAAAATTATTTGTTTTCTTAAAGGAAGCACGAACGATGATAAATTTCGGTTAATGATTCATAATGTTGAAAGTGTTTTCTGAAAGAAGCGATCTTAGTAGATCGGCGAAAATCCCACGGATTGACGTAAGTGTGAATCAGAGCTTTGAAATAGAAAAGTTTCTTCTTCAAACTTTCAGAGGCTTTTAAAAATATGTAAGAGCAGTATATAGAGAAATCTATTTAAAATTTTATTTACGCGATATTTATACATGGAACGAATTTTTTCTTAGAGTTTACCCTGAAAATATGATAATCGTGGAATGACATTGTATATTTCAAAGAATTTTTTAATGTGAATCTTTCTCATTCATTAATAAAACTACAATAAAGTATAAAATAAGTTTGATCAATTTTACTGAAGTGCATGGTAAAAATCTTTAAAATATTGTATTGTACCGCAATTACTATTTTCACGGTAAATTTTAAAAGAAAATTCTCTCCATGTAAAATTTATGTCGCAAAATAAAATAGAAATTAATCATCATACTAATCAGTTTTAACGTATGTTTTTAAGCGCGCCTTGATTTGTTACGCACCAAATTTATAATTCAAAAGTTAGAAGGAAATACATTTTTTTTCAAACTTTTCTAATATTTCTTCACAATTTTCTCGTAATTTTAGTCTCTTACTTATTGTTAGTGTTATTATTTTATAGAGAAATGTTTGTTGTCATTTGCGTTATCATAAAAGTATAAGCTTTCAATTAACAATAAGATTTAATATGTAGCATAAAATAATTGAACAATTAAATAAAAAGCATTTAATGTTTTGCTGTAAATAAAATCTGTCTTTAATCTATAAAAAAACAACTATCGTAGAATATCGTAGTAATTGCCAAATTTATTTATTCCTATTTGTAATTGCAAAATATTATTTCTTTTCGCAATATAATTTATGGGATGAAGTGTCTATAATGAAATGCAATAAAATAATAATCGTCGGAGTTGAAAATGGACGACATTAAAGAAAAGAGAGACATGGCGATACGGCCCGTATCGCGCTCCGATTTCAAGAAATGGCGCGTCGCTTACCTGCCAAAGTGGGCGTCCAGGCATGGCGGATCTTCAGGTCTCGTCGGGTCTCCTCTCTCCGGAAAATTATTTTCCGCACTCCGTACACAGAGTCTCTCCACCGTAGCTCAAGCTCAAGCACAAAAAGTGCGCTCCACCGCGGTAGCGCTGCGTATATATGCGTGACAGGTGCGCATACGTGTTGGTGGAACGTGGGGGCGCGTCTATATATGGATCACTTACTCACCACTTACTCCAGACACGAGCGAGATTCATCGGGAATGTCTGCAGGGGGTAGGGAGTATATTGTGGATGGAACTTGCCAATCGATCGACGAAAATGATAATGGGAATCATATCAATGTCTCATTTCCCAACATTTTATTGGGACTTAATCTTCCGAACTCGTTCAATTATATTTACATCTGCAAATTTGAATTATTGTTATTAATCCTCCGCCGGTAACATAAATTTTAACTCTTTCATTAGCAACAGAGGTTTTCAAAAAACAGAATAATTTTTTTGTTCCGGATTATATACAAATTTTAATATATTTGTTAAAGCTTTAACGTCGAATTTTTATTATTACACATAAAAGTCGAATTGTACTTTAATTATTTTTTACAAATTTAAATTTTTCTATTAAAATTTACAATCAAAATATCGATAGTGCTTTTAAAGAACTTCAGTTGCCGGCAAAGAGTTAAATATTTATTCAATTATAATACAATGTTACGTAATTTTAATTCTTTTGAAATTATTTAATGTCTTTACGAAGAAAGGCGAAAGAACGATTTTCTCGATGCATCTAAAAGTTTAGCTAAATAAAATAATTTTATTTACTATTAAAATAACTACATGGGAATCTCAAGCATGATAAGCAACGTTGTAAAATATTTTAACATTCTAGCAATCAGTTTGAGCGTCTTACATAATTATTTTGATAGTCCATATTGTTGTGCAAGTATTATTTATGAAAAAAAATTGTGTAATAAGATAACAATACTGATATTTATCGTTAAGAGTTACTGAATTGGAGTCTTGTATTTTCACAGAGAAATAAAACTAAATTCTATAAAACACAGTAATATATTTCGGCGCGCTGTATGAGAAAAGTGATCTTCTTTTTTTATAATTTTTGGAACTCACGCATATACGCGACCTTCACGGGTGAAACATCAGATGACATCAGATTCTTTTTCAGAGGAATGACAAGGGAAGAAAAGCGGACAAAGAGTGGAAGAATGAATAAGAAAGTAAACAGTGTTCACTAGTGAAAACGCGAGGATGTAATTATTGTTAAGATTACAAAATCGGGAGATATTATACTAAAGTTTTTAAGGCTAGGGCACAGACTTTTACATAATGCATAATGCATAAGAAAATCAAGCAATAATCAGCCTTTTATTTCATGGAAAGGAACATTCTTATGCGTTATATAATATACGAGTACTATATACAAATCTATAGGTACTCCAACCCTTATTCTCAAAAAATATCAATCTAGATCCACAATCTTGCTTTAAAAGGCCGTAAGCTATAAGCCGTAAGTTGTAAATAACGATATATCGGCCAGAGAACTTATGCTTTTAGGCCGTAAGAATTTTTTTGCTCAATTAGCTTAAGTCTAATCAAGGCTGGGTAGTGATAATTTACTAAGATAAAAGTTAAGTTAAAAAGTTAAAAAGTTAATTAATTTTAACTTAACTTAATTACATTTTAGATTCTTAACTTTTTAACTTTATTTAGTTATATTTTATCCGTAACTATTAATTTTTTTTAAGTTAAATCTCAGACATAATAGGCGGCAATAGCGATAGCTGATATTGAATGGCTGTTCAGTGCAGGAAGACTCATTTTCGATAATTTGCGAGGAAAGATGTTCGACGAAATTTTGAAATGGCTTTATTACTTAAATTTAATAAATATATGTGAACAAAATATTCAAACAGTACATATAACACGCATTCAAATTGACCAATACAGTCGTCAATTTCCAACTTCTAACTTCTGATTTATGACAAATGGCTTATTGTAGAATGGCAGTCTATGTAAACAGTATATATAATCAAAACATGTAAATAAAATATTGAGTATTTTCTAAAAATAAAATATATATTTGTCGTTTCCGTTATTTGTAAGACTGAAACCGTGGAATCATAAAATAAAAGTAAACAGAAACAAATGTAACTTTTAACTTTTTAATTACTTTTTTTATTAACTTAATTTTTAATTCAATTAATTATAAATTAACTTGTATCTTAACTAAGTTAAATTTTCAAGGTTATTAACTTTAACTTAACTTAGTTAAAAAAAAAAGTTAACTCATCTAACTCTGAGTCTAACAATTAAAGCCTAAAGATCGCGCAAAAACAATTTAAAGACAGAAATATGCTCGGTCCACAACCTTGCTTTAAGAGGCCGTAAGCTGTAAAACCTTAAATTGACTAATCACAGTTGAATATGAGAAAAATAATCGACTGTGATTGGTCAATTTCTTACAGCCTCTTAAAGCAAAGTTGTGGATCGAGTCTCGCGTACAAAAATACTATCACTATACGTCACGTATATTCCAGCTTTTTCAGATGCGATATAAATTCAAAAATATGAAATCTGCTTTTCTCTCGCGTTTCCCTCCGTTTGCCGTCTTTCCGTAATCGCGTCGAACGGGATCAAGGACGAGACGTGCTCCGATTTCCCCGAGAACGTTTCATGTGAGAACAGCCGAAAAACAGATCGACCTCTCGTTAATGGTAGCGTGGCCGAGCGGTCTAAGGCGCTGGTTTAAGGCACCAGTCTCTTCGGAGGCGTGGGTTCGAATCCCACCGCTGCCATTTTTTTTTTCCTCCCGCCCGCGGATGGCACGCCGTCGTGCCGTAGCCGCGGCCTCGCGGCTTCGCGCGCGGCGACCGCACGTCGTGCGATTAACGAGACGCAATGGTAGCGTCTCCTTCGAAGGTCCAATGGGTTGCGTCGGCACGCGGCGCCGTGGTTCACACCTATCAGGCTTACATGCGCTACGAGTAGGCTAACGTCTCGGTTCTTCTGTGCGCGCGACATCTGCGGAAGGAAAGGGCCACTTTAACGAGCTCGACCGAAAACGAGTCGAACGAGCAGAAAACTGCCCGTCGAGAACAATCGGCATAAATATTAGCTCAACAATTAAGTAGTCGTAATATAAATTAGATTTGCTCATCTCTTTCTGAGGGGATGGCAAATTTTCTTATAAACTTCTTGCTATAATAGGTATCTACATATCCAAGCGGAACAAGTCACGATAACGTCAAAATCACGTTAATAAAATGATTGAAAAATAATTTTTTATGATTATTTTGGAGTTACTTTGACATAATTTTGATGTCATGTTTTTGGATACATCTCAAAATAAGCTCAAAATTGTGATAAAAAATTATGTGCCATCTAGACGAAGAATAAGTCTGTTGAAACGAATGTTCTCGTAGCCGAGATAATGCAAACGAATTTATACAAGTGTGCAAATCTCAATTAAGAATTTTGACCCCGTTTTATTTCTTTTGTGGATATATTATTTGACATTTATTTTTCAAGTAACATAATGAACAATTAAAAATATTATCTGCGATGTGGGAATCGTTTTCGAGAGGACAAGACGGAATTCTAAAGCGCGAGATATAATACGTACGGAACAAAGGACAAATATATATATATATATGTGTGTGTGTGTGTGTGTGTGTGTGTGTGTGTGTGTGTGTGTGTGTGTGTGTGTGTGTGTATATGCTCCTTACGGAAGCTTCACGGAGTCCCCATGCTCTTGCGAGCAGATGAGATCCTGTTGATGTTGTTGTCGTCGGGGGCTCGCCATTCCTGCTCGTTTCGGTTAAAGGGGATCGTTATTGAACGCTTATGAAACGGCGAAGGGGAGAACGGAACGCACGACTGATATAGTAACAATAATAATAACGTCGTCGTAGAAAAAAGGAGAACGGAAGTGTGCTCCGAGGCCACGTGGTATCCTGATACAAGTTTCATTCAAAAGATGCTACTACGGACCACGCCCAATTAACAGCTCCTTCCAACTCGATACGTCATAAATGGACATCAAGCTACGTCTACAAGCATATATTATCATTATTATTATTATAGTACATTGTAACAAAAAAAATGAATTTATTATTACCCAAAACGGAACAGAAGAAGTCATGTCAAAATGAACCGTAATTGATTGGAAAATGACTTTCAGTCATCATTTTGGAATCATCATGATGACTTATATTCTGCGTGGATACGCACATGTAAATATGTTGAATAAAATATTGCTGACAGATAAACTGAAGAAGAATACACACAATAACTGTATACATATATGGAATCACAAATACATTAACACCTGAAGTTGCGCACGTATCGGAATATATTTGGCGCGCATGCTTTCTGTCTATATGTTCGCATATCATGACTGTTGATTATTCGAAAAGCATTATTTTTATTATTATTAATGTATTATTCTTATTTATTGTTACATTATTAATTAATATTTATTAGTATTATTGATTAATATTTATTAATATTATTAATTATTATTTATTATATTGTTATTAAACTTAATACAGTAAGCTACGAAACCTATTTTGCCACGAATTACAATTGGATAATTATGAAATGTATTACATAATTGTCCAATTGTAAATCATGGAAACTGCAGCCGAGAATTTAATTCTTTTGACAGAGAAAGGTTAGAGGCTTGTCTGTCCATCACCGCGTTCGTGTCAAGAAATGAAATATTCCCTCGATATTCGTGTGTAACTATACATCGATACTTATAGTCATTTTTTATACTTAAAATTGTGTTATAAGTAAGTCTGAAGTCATGTTAAACCAATCACAGAATCGTATTCGCATCTTAAAACATTGATAATACAAGACGCTGTTGAAATACAAACAGTGATAAGAGTTTGTAGTAATAATTACAAAACGTTGAATGAATTCAATATTCGGTTAATATGATAAAAAATAATTTTATTTTTTTTACATAAATATGTGATAAGTATTACTAAATATAATAACATAATCAATTATAGTTTACTAATAATTACTAAATATTTAAAAAAGTAAAATTATGTTTATTTATATAGTTACATTAAACGAACATTTGATCAACATTATCTTACTCAACATTTGGTAATTATTATTCTTTGTTCAGCGAATGAATATCGACCGTAAACGCACAACGGAGAAGCGCATTATCTCGGGTTGACGATCCTGCATCGCGTACACATCTATATGCACCTACATATTCTCTTCTTCTAGTTCTTTGACCGCAATGAAGTGCGGTGCGTGCTCACATCCCGTACGTAGGCCGTGTATTATCAGAGCAGCATAAACGATACGGCTTTTCTCCTCTCTCGTACAGTTGAGCGTCATTCGCGCGGGTTGTCTCATTTGGCCCCTCCTCGCACCAGAGCAGCACGCAGAGCGAGGAAGTCGTCCGGGTGCACCCGTTCTTGTATTACCTATGGTACCTACTTTCGTCCGAAATGTTTCCGCTCGATGGAAATTACCGACGTAGTCACGACGACGATCCATGTGTCACAATGGCTTACCAATTAGCACACACGTGTATATTTATATCTGATACATATACATATACAATTTTGTGACAATTAATTATAATTTTGTTATAATTAATTATAATCTAATTAATAATATTGTTATAACAATATATTATAACTAATTAATTTAATTCATAATTTTTGCGTAGTGCCAACTATTTCTCTTTATTCACAACGAAAAAAATTTCTCAGAGCTTGATTAGGATTTTTGCTTCAGGGTAGCATAAAAATTTTACTGTACAGATTAAGTCTTGAAATTAACAAGAGGACTTACTAAATTAATAATTGTGAAATATACATATAATAATATAAAATAATAAAATATGTAATACTAAGTGTATGCAGTATACAGAGTATTGTCAATTTAATTATTTAATATATTTTAATGATTATAGCGTTATATAGATGTCTGACAGATTGAACAAGAATCTTACAAAACAATTCTTTCTGCATACGTTCCATTGTTCTCGTTATATCTCGCTGCATAATCTCTATTTGCCATCGCTATTTATCTTACATAACATATGCGCTGCGTCGTAATGTCACAAGCTACTCCTTCTAACACCAAAAGCAGTCGATCAGTTCAGGTGTTCAGTTATACGCACAATGTTAAACGACTCGTCGACCTATCTTTCCGGCTTACCCCTGCTCGTCCTCCACACGTTAATTTACACGTAGCCCATAAGAATAATCTGCAGTCAACGAGCAGAATGGACATAATCAACAATTTAACCGAGCGGCGAGCAGGGACACAGCAATGCCGAGTAGGAGCGTTCCCGTTCCCGCGCCGTGCTCGGCGCTCGCAGCCTCCTGGCCGCTTCTGTTCGCCGTGGATCGGAAAGACACAATTTTGAGGAAGAGCGCGCGGGCCTCTAAGCATCGTTACGGCGCAGCCATATCCCATTGGTCCACGGCGATCTCTTTCCACCGCTTATTGGTTCATTGACTCCGGCATGGACGGAAATTTTGGCAGGGCTACCGGGCCCGGCATGCCGTCGCGCCAGCATGGCGCGAATCCCGCTGGGCCGCGCCCGCCCGCGCCAGAGAATTGCGCGCGGCGACGCGCGGCTGCGACCGATGCGCGTCCGTCTCTCGTCTACGTCTCGCGGGAGTCGGCGGACCGTCGTCCACGGGGACAGTGACACCGTTTTTCCCCAAAATCGCCATTAATAACGTACGATTCCCCGCCGCCGTCGCCATCGCCACTGTTGCCGACGTACGCGCGAATGCCGACTTTAACTCCGGATTTCCACGGTGTTCGGCTCGGACATCTCGTGTCTACGTCGAACTAGGATACGTAAGTCGCGTACCCTCGCCGCCATGGGAATAGCTCCCAAACGGATCGAACGTTATTACGTTTTCCCCTAAAATTAAACCTGCTACGCGAAGGAGTGGGGACTGTTACCTTGCAACGAGGCAGTGTGTATGTACATATACAGGGTGACTCACGCGACACATTGGAGTAAGGCGATGACATTTTGCTGACATTTACGAGTGGCGACGACGCGGCAGAAAAATCGACTTCGCGTAATTTACGAATCATGAATAAGAGAAATTGAATGCATATTGATCTCCTCGTACTTAATACAATAAATTTATCGTATAAATATATATATCTCGTATCGTGAGGTGCTAAGTTTTATCGTGTAAAATTTGGATATATTAAAGTTTTTGGACAAAGCGTCTGTTATGGAGGATTTTGTTGAAAATCCTTGTTACGATTATAATTTTTTAATGAATAATAATATCACCATATGGAACAACAATTTAATAATACGTCCTGTATTCTTTTAGAGTTCATTTCTTAATATAAAATTCTTTTTTGTACATCTTATGAATCTTGCTTTGTTGTAAATATGTATTATTCATCGGAATTTAAATGCAAACATATGAAAACGCATTAACTTATAAAAAACCATTTTATATAATCGATATGTATAATAGTATATGCATATGTGTACTCTATATAGTTTAAATTATATCATATTACTGTATGGATGTACCTTATAGAAATTTAATATTGAAGATAGTGATTAATTATACTTACTTTGAATATTAAAACCACTGTTGCTTAATGCTTTTAATATTAAAAATAAATAATTAATCACTACCGTCCTCTAAATTTCTGTAAGAGACAACCAATATTGTATATGGATACAGACTATATGTATATACATATTATAATATATTCTATATTGTTCAATGCTTTTAATATTCATCAAAACAAATAGTTTTTGATATTAAATTGACTAGAATCAATTTGAATTACTATAAGAATTATAGACACCTTAGAGAAATATAATACTTTGTTAAAGTATTAAATTGATTAGTGATTAATTACTTATTTTAAATATAAAAAGTATTAACAACGACGCTTTTAATATTCAAAATAAGTGATATATCACTAATCAATTTAATACTTACAATATTCAATTTCTTTTGAGGGAACACATTATTTCTATATCCACAGACACATTGATACGAAATCAGCTGTACTACTTTATTTCACGCATTCTTGCAATATCCTTCGACTCTCCGGAAGAATCAATCGTCTACGCAATTCCACGAGACACCCCGTACATAATCTCGTGCGTGCACTCGTACATACATATGTATGCATATGTACATACATACGTAGGCCAGCGTTGTTGACATCAGCGCTTCTATCGGTGGCGTCGCGAGATTGCGGGCGGCCGCATGCGTTCCTGTTGAAAAAATTCCTCACGGGCGAAAGTCAAGGTATGATGGAACATCGCCGGCGTGCCGGCCGGCCTGATTGAGAGAGTGGAGAGAGCTCGAGGTCGCCTCCTTGCGCGATGTGTTTCCCTGGTAGCAGGAGGGGCTCGGCGAGACAACCCGCGCGAAACTCTGTTCAACGTAGGGAGAACAGCTGCGCCGTACAAGCTCCTATAACTGCGTGCCGTCCGGATAACGCGGTGCTCGCATGCGGGATGTGAGCACGCACCACGTGCTCGTCACCGGGCTGGGCTGGGCTGGGCCGGGCCGGCTGCGCTGGGATGACGACGATCAACGATCGGCCGCGCACCGATTCCTCGCATCGTCTCGCCTCGCCGCGCTGCATCGCGGCGATGTGGCTGATGTGCGCGTTCAATTTCTCGCGGCGGCACGCACACATGCGAGGAAGCGAACGTTCCTCGCAAAGCGAGGGGGGACATGGAGCAGCGCACGTCCACGTATCGATCGTATAACCCGTACATTCGGGGTACTCGGGACGCTCGGGTCGAGCTAATGGTGTAAAGAGTGATTTACACGGGGCGACTTTTATTCGCTGGAAGCCGCGTCCAGTGACGTCATTAATTCGTCAGTGATTTCTCTCGACTCA